TGGTGCTCTTAACCTCTGAACCATCTCTCCAGCCCCAGAAGTTCTATTTTTAAAGAAAGGGAGAGAAATCTCAGAGGCCCAGTTGGAGACTCCCATTAAGGAAGAAGCCCTGTGGAGGAAGGAGGGCTAGTGAAAACAGATTGGACCTAAGGTACACAGGGGTCAAATGAACCATTTGAAATTAGGTGTTCCAACCAAAGCTATCTGCTGTTTTATATCCTTCTGAAGATATTGTGTGCATTCACAATGTTCACAATAAATAAATTTATGTGCAAATGTACACACGAAATACAAGTGTTGCCAATGAGAACACAAATGCAACTGTGTATACACCACACACATGTCACCTTCCTAAAATTGTCCTTGTTGTTAAGTTCATGTTGGAGAGGGTAGACATTTCATAGGTCTGAGGGGGGTGGGAGGTAGCAAAGATCAGCAGGAAGGAAAAGGCTTGGGGAGCCCTGGTGTTGGAGTGAGGGACATTTCTAGATATCATTTCGACCACAGTTGTTGCAAACCAAGATCCAACACTCTAAGGTTTTTATTCAAATAGCTTCCCTTTTTTTCTCTCAAATTTTATGGCTCATACCTGTAATCCTTTGAGTGGCTGAAGCAGGAGGATTGCTATGAGTTTGAGACTAGCCTGTGCTATATTGGTAAATTCCATGCTAGCCTGGGTTACATACGACTTTGTCTCTAAGACACACACACACACACACACACACACACACACACACACACACCAAAAAAGCAGACATTAAGGTAGTGTTTGTTTGTTTGTTTGTTTTTCGAGACAGGGTTTCTCTGTGTTTCTTTGGAGCCCATCCTGGCACTTGCTCTGGAGACCAGGCTGGCCTTGAACTCACAGAGATCCGCCTGCCTCTGCCTCCTGAGTGCTGGGATTAAAGGCGTGCGCCACCAACACCTAGCCCAGACACTAAAGTCTTAAACTGGATCTGGAGAGATGGCTCCATTGGAAAAATGCTTGCCTTGCAAACACACGAACCTGAGTTGATCCTCAGCACCCATCTAAGGTATATGTGTGAGGGAAGCTGGTCTTGGTGATAGGCGCTTGTAATCCCAGAGCTGGGAGGGTGAAGACAAGCAGGTCAGTGGGGCTTCCTAGCCCTTCTCACTAGGCAAGTCCTAGGCCATTGAGAGGCCTTGTCTCAAACAAACAAACAAACAAACAAACAAACAAAAACAGATGCATGGCACCTGAGAAATGATACTAGAGTTTGTTCTCTGGCTTCCACATGTAGATCCACATACCTACATGCACACACATGTATGTACACACACTCATGCACCCATCTGCACCTATATACTGCAAAAACCAAAGCAGACAGACAAAACCCAGCCTTAAATTGGAGGGAGTCTATAACTTTTCTGGAACAAGAAGAATAGACATAAGAAAAACAGCTTCCCAGAACTGCTCTCAGCAGGACAGAGAAAGCCAACAGTCTGGACAGGTGGTAACAACTACTATGGAGGAACAAGGCAGGGGGAGCTCCAGGGACCTGCCACCATGAAAAAGGAGAGTGGCAAAGAGCCTGCCCAGGCCTGTGGCTGCCCCAGGCTCAGGAGCAAAGGGTTCCTCAAATTCAGTGACAGATAAGCAGGGCTCTGTAATAGGATTAAACCTGAAAGTGTTACAGGTGAGGGGAAACGAGCCCATTCTTGTTATTGTGAGAGCCAGGCTTTGTCCTCATCCAACAGGCAGCACTCTGTCTTTATTGTTCCTGACAGGACACAAAGGAAAACTCCAGTTTGTTCTCTTGCCTTATGTGGATCTGCAAACAACTGGAAACAATTGCTCTGTGGTTGCTTGGTTTTATTTGTCACCTCTCCGTGGTATTGAGGATTGGACCCAGGACCTCTCATGTGCTAAGCAAGTGTTCTACCATTGAGCTGTATCTCCAATTCTCGTTTTATTTTTTGTTATGAGACAAGGTTTAGTTAAGTTGCCCAGGCTGACCTAGAACTATTTCTGTAGCTCAGATAGGCTTTGAACTTTAACCTTTCTGCCCCCAGACTCCTAATGGGCTTGGATTATGAGCAGACCAGCATCTATAGGACAATACTGAAAATGTCAAACGAGAGAAGGTTATATGCTCTTATCTGCCTGCTCCCATTCTTAACATTGGACACTTTGACCCTTCAAACTTAGCCACTTGCTACTTCAACCCTAGTTTTGTCTACTTGTCTGGGGGAAAAATCACCATCCAATATATTCTGGACCCTTGTAGACAGCCCCATGTGGAAACAGTGACGTTCAAGACCCCAGAGCTGCAGGCAGAGAGTCTAAGACTAACACAGAGCAAGCAGTCAAGGCTAAGGTAGGGGGCTCAGTAATGTTCTGGGATCCCACTGATGGAGGAACCCCTAAAGATGAAAGTATTCAAGATAGGCAGGTTCATGAATACCTGTAATCCCAGCATTTGAGAGCAGAAGCAAGAGGATTGCTACAAGTTTAAGGCCAGCTTAGGCTACACAAATGTTATCCCTAAAACACAAAGATAGGGCTGAAGGAATGGCTCAGTCAATGAAATGTTCTTCGTGCAAGCATGGGGACCTGAGTTTGATACCCAGCCAGTGCCCACATAAAAGTTGTCAGTTGGTGTCTGGCATATGTCTGCAATCCCAGTCTGGTGGTTTGAAAGAAAATGGCTCCCAAAGGTAGTGGTACTATCAGGAAGTGTGGCTTTGTTAGAGTGGCTGCGGTCTTATTGGAGGAAGTGTGTCATTTTAGAAGTGGGCATTACGGTCTCAAAAATGCTCAAGCTACACCCAGTGTCTCAATTCACTTCCTTTTGCTTGCAAATCAAGATGTAGGACACTCAGCTACTTCTCCAACACCGTGTCTGCCTGCATGCCACCATGCCACACCATGATGATAATGGACTAAACCTCTGAAAATGTAAGCCACCCCAATGAAATGCTTTTCCTTTATAAGAGTTGCCATAGATGTGGCAATAGAAACCCTAACTAACACTCCCAGCATACCCATAACCCCAGCTCTAGGGAGACAGACTAGAGTGGTACTTCCTAGCCAGCCAGTCTAGCTGAATCAGCAAGCTCCAGGCCAACAAGGGACCGTGCCTCAGAAATCAAGGTGGAGAACAGTTGGGGAAAATAACTTCTAGCCTCCACATGTACATGTGTGTGAACACATATATAATTCATGTGAATCTCCAGGTGTAGTCATTACATGCCTATAATCCCAGCACTGGGGAGGCAAAGGCAGGAGGATCAAGAGTTCAAAATGTCCAACCATTTGAGACCTTGCCTCAAACAAAAACAAAACAAAACAAAAGCCGGTCAACATTCCACCTTCTAGAAGAAGGTGGACCTTGGATGAGTAAGCTGTAAGAATTCAGGCAGGTCAGAGGTACAGGACTGCTTCCTTGAGGGACAGTGAAGGGGCAAGTTAGCTAGAGGGAGGGCAAGTGACAGCAGTCACTGGTTTCTGAGGCAATGGAAATTAAGAGTGAGATTTTCCAGGATTCAGAGGAAGCCTGCACACATCTGTCAGGGCATAAGACGGATTAGTGATTCCACAAGATCTGTCAAGATTGGGGAGGGGTGGGACCATGACTGTGGGAATCGTCCTTCATTGTGCAATTGGAGCTAAGGGGAGGCAAACTATTTTTATTTTGGAATTTTTTCTTTTTTTGTTTTTTCTTTGTTTTTGGTTTGGTTTTGAGTCAGGTAGCCTAGGCCTATGTAGCTCAGGCTGGCCTTGAACTTACAGCAGCCCTCCTTCCTCTAAACTCACATAGCTGGGATTATAGATATATACCATCATCCTCGGCTCAAAGGGCAAACTTTTTAAATTATTTATTATTTGAGATTGGGTCTCACTATGTAGACCAATCTGGCTTCAAATCCATGGAGATCTACCAGCTTCTGCCTCCCAAGTGCTTGGCTCCAACTTTTCTAAAGCACTTCACTCTTTCTGGTCTCAAGCTCAGGTTGCCTTATCTTTTTACTCTCTGTTCTTCTCCTCTTCCATTTCGTGCACACCGCCAGATGTCAAGGAGAGATCTGTTGTCACTGTGAGTTTGGGTTGGGATGTCAGCCTGGGCCATTCACCTTGTTAGAAAGTGCATGCAGATGAATGGAGTGAAAAGCATGGGGACCGTGCTGATGTTCCCCGGTCTAAGACGCAGAAGTCTCGGGAGCCAGCTGTGACACTGAACTGTGTGACTGTGGGCTATCAGCTGTCACCCCTCCCTCCCTCCCTTCTTCTCTCTCTCTCTTTTTTTAAGTCTTTTTTAAAAAGATTTTTTAAAAAATATTATGCATACAGTGTTCTGCTGGCATTTATGCCTGCATGCCAGAAGAGGGCACCAGATCTCAGCATAGATGGTTGTGAATCACCATGTGGTTGCTGGGAATTGGTTCCAGGACCTCTGGAAGAGCAGTCAGTGCTCTTAACCTCTGAGCCATCTCTCCAGCCCCCCTCTCTCCCTTTCTATCTCATGATTTTCTTGAGGTTCAAATAAAATGTGGTGGGGACTGGGGAGATAACTCAGTCTATAAAGTGGTTTGCTTTGCAAGCCTGAGGACCTGGATTTGACCCCTAGCGCCCATGTAAAGAGCAAGGTATGGTAGGTAGTATGTATTTATAATCTCAGCACTTAGGGGAGTCAACACGGGTGGATCCCTGGGGCTCAATGGCTGGCCAGCTTAGCCTAATTGAAGAGCCCTAGACCACTGAGAGACCCTGTATCAAAAAAAGGTGGGTGGCTCCTGAGGAATGAACTCAGTGTCTTGGTGTGTGTGTGTAAAAGCTCTTTTGAGGGTAAAAAGTTACTAGTTATATAGCTCCAAATGAAGTCTGCATGGGAGTGAGGTAGGGGTTACTGGGAAATTCAGAAATCCTCATCTGCCTTATGACTGCATCATTTGCATCTCATCATTATAAGTAGTTTAATTGTATGACTTCCTTTGGCGAGTAAATAACCTTCCCTCTACTGGTACTTTTTCTTCCCTAGATGTCCCTGAGCTCCCATCCAAAAGTTCCAGTTCGTCTTGCCTGGCCTCTTCATCTGCCGGTGGGACCCTCAGATCCTGAAGCAGTAACTAGAATTCTCATGGAGCACTTCCCAAACCACCCTGGGCTTCGGTCACCCCCCTCAGAGGCTCCAGAGTCAACACAGACTTAAAAATGGAAAAGGACTTTTCTAGAAGTGACTAGGTATTCTTCACAGCTGAGAGTTGGATTCTAACCAGTCCCTCCATTAAACTCTTTTGATTTAAGTTCCTGGTTGTGAAAGGCCCTGTGAGTCTACTGTATCCTGAAGAAAAAAAAAAAGTGCAGAATCTTGGAAATGGGTCAGTAGACATGTTGGGTTTGGTGAGGGGATGTCGGACAGATGGCCTCATTGATAACACTGGGTGAATCAGGGTCTCGGGAGGAAATGATACCCCCAAGGCCCCTTGAGTAGTTAGTAAAGGAGATGCTGAGAATGTTGAGGTTATAGCATAGACCCAGAGGTTTCGACAGCAGAAATGTATTTGCTCACAGTCTGAATACTGGGAGTCCAAGATGATGGTGTGTCAGCAGGTAACGCTGAGGCCTCCTCTCTCCACTGGCCATCTCCTCCCTCTTTCCTTCTAAGTCCTGGTGGACTGGGGCCCATTCCAATGACTCACATGACCCCATTCATCTCTGTCTCCATATGCAGGCTCATTCTAAGACACTGGGAGTTAGAAGTCCAGCATGTGGATTTTAGGGGACATGGTTCAACCATTAGCACATGCAATGGGCAGGATTAGGAGAATCGAGATAGGTGGATGGCAATGGGGAGAACTTTTATCATCCTTTGGGATAAAGGGAGAAGGGAAAGTCTTGGAATCCAGCTTCTGCTGTGGCCTTGGGAGAGAGGCTGGCAGACTCAATGTGTTGGAGGCGGCAGAGGAATGCAGAGAGGGAAGCAGCAGATACCCAATTCTTCTCTCTTAACACTTCCACACTCCTGGCAAACCCCATCTGGAAGTCGAGGCAAAGATACCTGTGGTTCATCCCTCAGCTGCCAGTCTCCTGAGGCAAGAGAGCAGAGCTGGCAAGGGTAAGTCAATGGAAAATAACCAGTATCATGGAGGAGAAGAATACAGGGCTGGAACCAGTGAGATGGCTGAGCAGGTGAAAGCATTTCCTGTGCAAGCCTGATGACCTAAGCTCAGTCCACAGAACCCATGGTGGAAGGAGAGAACTAACTCCTAAAAGGTGTCCTCTGGCCTCCACATGTATCAACCCACCTCCCCGACAGTAGAATACATGTCTGGAGAAGTTACAATTGCCATTTAAGTAATTTAAAAGAGCTTTGGAGTGACTGGAAAACAAAACAAACAAAGTCACTTAGCCACAAAGACAAGAGTGCTATTGTAACAGGCCCCCAGACCTAAACACAACTGATGCCATGTTAAGGGCACCAATCCGAGCTTAAAACCCAACACGGGCCTGTGTGCCTTCCAACATGGAAACAAAGACCTAATCCATCAAAGAACTAGTTCATAGTTCCAGAAAAGTCCCTAAATGTACTCACCTTGATTTTTGGCTTCTGTAGTTCTTGCTAACTGAAGTGTGAAAATAAGGTTGTGGTTTTTGTGCATGAAAGACAAAGGGCTGTTAAAGCTCAGGGCTTTATGGTTAGGGCAAGTTCTCACCAGCCAGCAATAATGGCTTCCAGTTTTGGCTGTACAGGTGTCTGTGGTGGACTCTGGTGGGCTTACCTCACAACAGTAAATTCTAAACTAAACCACTTACCCATGTTGCTGTCTCAGTGCCCCATAAACTGCTGTGCTAGGATACTTAAGTAAAGCAGAAAATGGAAAAGCAGTGTTTGCAGTTATAGTTTGAGTATGAAGTAGGCCCAGAGAGGCTCATGCATTGCAGGTGTGGTCCCCAGGTGGCAAATCCAGTCACTGGGAGGTGGTTGTATCATTAGGGTCTGACATAGATCAGTTAGGATTTATACTGTAATGTGATTTTAGGAGGTGGGGACTGGTTGGAGGGAGTAGGTCCCAGAGGTCATACTTGAAGGGTCTGTCTTGTTCTTGGTCCCTTCCTGTTGTACTCTCTGTCCTGTTAATCACAAGGGGAGCAGCTCTGGCTCCCCCCCCCCATGCTATTCTTCCTTGACATGGATGGGCCCAGAATCAATGCAGCCAAGTGGCCAGGGACTGAAACTCTGAAGCCAGCAGCCAAAATAAGTACTCCCTCTGCAAGCTGTTTATCGTAAGTATGTTGTACAGTATTGAAAAGGGTGGCAAACAGCCATCAATTGTGATGCCAAACAATTCTTTCTACACACACACACACACACACACACACACACACACGCTGGTTTTGAACAATGGCCCAGACTGATGGTACAGAATGAAGTGGTGTGTGTCCAAATGATGGGTAGGAACCAAACAATCTAGTAATAATCACTTCATTTGTACTACCTAGGGTGACACTAAAGCATAGTTCCACAATGAGATCTTACGTCTTTCCCATAGGAAAGGTGCCCTCTTCCTGTAGCCTGTGTTCTCATGGTCAGCCCCCAGAAGCCATGGCAGATAGAGAATCTGGGTGGTCTGCAGCTATGCCTGTCTCTCTCTTTTTCCCAGGAGACCCTTTGATCATGTCATAAGCCAGTTACACTCTGAGCCTATGTTTGGACGGGCCAGGCTGGGGTCTACCACTATTCCCTTTTGGAATAGGAACCAGAATGGTCTGAACCAAGGATTATCAAGGTGATAATGAATCTGAAGATTGGGCAGAGCTGTGTGTGGAGAACTTGCCTCTGCTCCCATATGCAGCTCCTGGACATCCCTACAGAGGAATGAAAGATCAATTTCCAAGATGGCAGAGGGCCATGGCTGGCAATTTGGTGTGGGCCATCTACTAGGGGCTCAGTGAGGGTTGAAGGTAGATCTGTTGTTCCCTTCACAGAGCCTGGGGTTGTGAAGCATGGGGGTGAGCCAGGTGGGCCTGAATCACCTTCAAGGTTCCAGTCATGGAGATTCATAGTGTCACTTCTATTTCTTTAGTTAACTGGCCAGACAGTTCCATTTTTTAAAAGGGGAATACAGACTCTGGAGAGTTGCAAGGCTCTGAAATAACATACTAGTTTCTAGGACAGCCACAGACACCAAAATGTACCTTGTAGTGGTGTCTTATGTGCAAATAACCTACTGTTTTCATATACAGTATCTCAAATGGCCTCCCATTTATTTCTGTTGATCGACCTATATTTGAGATGGTCTCATGTATCCCAGGCTTGGACTTTCTATGAATCTGAGGATGATCTTGAACTGCTGCTCATCTTCCTATCTCCACCTCTTGATGCTGAAATTACTGGTGTGATGGACGGTAGTTTATGAGATGCTGGGGATCAAACTCAGAGCCCTGTGAATACTGGATAAGCACTCTACCAACTTGGTAATACCCCTAGCCCCTCCCATTTATTCATTATCTCTTTTGGTGCTGGGGGTTGAACCCAAGATCTCGTCTATAAGCTGGTACCAGGGTCCCCAATCTTTCCCATACATTAAATCATTTCTAGATGACTCATAATTCCTAACACAATGTGAGTAGTAGTTGAATTGTGTCCATTGTATAGTGACTAAAACAGACAGTGCAGATGCTCAATACACATACAACCATGGCTACATGGTACAGGTATGTTAACAATATTGTGATAACTTTTCAGAGCGTGTGTGTGTGTGTGTGTGTGTGTGTGTGTGTGTGTGTGTGTGTGTGTGTGTGTGGTTGGTAGAGTCTGAGAATGAAGAAACTCTAGATGCAGATTGTGATTGTGAAAAATAAACCTGTTCCTTCTTAGGCTAAGGAGCCCAAGAAGCTGGGGAGTGAGAGGGCAGCCTTTGCAATACAGAGTGCCTTGAACAGAGCTCAAAGAGAGGACAAATAAACCATTCTGGGGGAGCTGCAGAAGGATGGCCAAGCAGAAAGCCGGGGGTGAATCAACAGAAGTGGCATGGAATATGCAACAGGTATCACTTCCAAGTGAGAAATGAGACAATAAAATAGCCAGAGCCCTAGGGCGAAACCAGGACATCAGTCACCCTGGTGTGCCAGCTCTGCCTCAGCTTTAGTACTGCAGGCCCACATCCAGCGGGGTGGGTGTATGGCTTAGTATGAGTAAGTGCAAGCTCTGGGTATGGTCCCCAGCACCTGCAGAGCAAAGGGAAGGAGAAAGGAAAGAAGAAAGGGGGAAGGAATGGAGAAGGCAAGGAAGAAGGAAAGGGGTTGGAGAAGATGAAGAGGAGGAGGAGGAGAGGGAGGAAGAAGGGGAAAGGAGGAAGCCGGGCATTCGTGGTGCACGCCTTTAATCCCAGCACTCGGGAGGCAGAGGCAGGTGGATCTTTGTGAGTTCGAGACCAGCCTGGTCTATAAGAGCTAGTTCCAGGACAGGCTCCAAAGCCACACAGAGAAACCCTGTTTCGAAAAACAAAGACAAAACAAACAAACAAAAAACACAAGAGGAAAGGAGGAAAAGAAGGAAGAAATGAAAAGAAAAAAAAGAAAAACCAAACCATTTTCAGGATCCTCTCGGTCACCATGGGTTATTCTGGAGACTGGATGGTCAGTGAAGGCTGGAGCCACAGGTGTCGTCTGAGCTGCCATGAGGTTGAGGAGAGAGATGGAAATTAGTCAAGGGTCCAAACAGGAAGCCTAGCCCTGCCAGGAAGTCAAGGCGTCACTCTAGGTACTGAATCGATAAGGGATTGTTAAACAGGAAAGTGACCTGGGAGACTTGCATGTAGAGGGCTCTGGTGCCTGGGCAATTGGGGAGAGAGGTGCTGCGCAGAAGACTGTCCGTCACAGAGCCCCTGCCTTTCTCCGGAGAAGAGAGGACAGTAAGTTGAACTAAAGTGGTGGGGGGAGATCGAGGACTAGAGGATAAAGACTCAGCAACAGCAAAACTGTACAGAGTTTTGTGTACAGAGTACAGAGGTTTGTGAGAGAGACTCTCAGATGCCTGGCATGGGCCATTGGAAAAGTCTGGGGAAGTAATGAGGGTGGTTTGGAGAAGCCTTCCCACACCACCCTGCCCTGGAATGCAAACAAACAGTTCCTTCCCCTGCAGCTTGTGTTGCTTTGACGGTCGTCTTGCTGGGCGTGCAACTGTATTGGACATTCCAGGGACAAGGG